GGTGGACGGGTGTGGGTGATGGAGGAGGAAGAAGGGTTGGAGGTGGTCGGCTATGGTGGACGGGTGTGGGTGATGGAGAAGGAAGAAGGGTTCGAGGTGGTCGGCCATGGTGGACGGGTGTGGGTGATGGAGGATGAAGAAGAGTTGGAGGTGGTCGGCTATGGTGGACGGGTGTGGGTGATGGAGGAGGAAGAAGAGTTGGAGGTGGTCGGCTATGGTGGACGGGTGTGGGTGATGGAGGAGGAAGAAGAGTTGGAGGTGGTCGGCTATGGTGGACGGGCGTGGGTGACGGAGGAGGAAGAAGGGTTGAGGTGGTCCGGCTATGGTGGACGGGTGTGGGTGATGGAAGAAGAAGAAGGGTTGAAGGTGGTCGGCTATGGTGGACGAGTGTGCGTAATGGAGGAAGAAGAAGTGTTGGAGGTGGTTGGCTATGGTGGAGGGGTGTAGGTGATGGAGGAAGAAGAAGGGTTGGGGGTGGTCGGCTATGGTGGACGGGTGTGGGTGATGGAGGAAGGAGAAGGGTTGGGGTGGTCCGGTTGTGGTGGACGGGCGTGGGTGATGGAGGAAGAAGAAGGGTTGAAGGTGGTCGGCTATGGTGGACGAGTGTGGGTGATGGAGGAAGAAGAAGGGTTGAAGGTGGTTGGCTATGGTGGACGGGTGTAGGTGATGAAGGAAGAAGAAGGGTTGGAGGTGGTCGGCTATGGTGGACGGGTGTGGGTGATGGAGGAAGAAGAAGGGTTGGAGGTGGTTGGCTATGGTGGACGGGTGTAGGTGATGGAGGAAGAAGAAGGGTTGGAGGTGATCGGCTATGGTGGACGGGTGTGGGTGATGAAGGAAGAAGAAGGATTGGAGGTGGTTGGCTATGGTGGACGGGTGTGGGTGATGGAGGAAGGAGGAGGGTTGGGGGTGGTCGACTATGGTGGACGGGCGTGAGTGATGGAGAAGGGAGAAGGGTTGGGGTGGTCTGGCAATGGGGGATGGACGTGAAAGAAGGCCCATTGGACGTATCCTAACTCCTAGCCCCGTACCTCCGTTTTCTACTTCGGGTGCCTTGCTGCCCCATAGCACTTTCGCAAGTCACCGTTCACAGCAAAAATGGGAAAGGGACCAAACTGCAGCCCACACACACACACACACACACACACACACTCACATACTCCGAATGTCACCGGGTACAGCCAGGGTTAAAGGTCGATTGCACAAGTTACCGGAGACTGCAGCACTCACACATACACACACCGTATGTTACTGGGTACAGCAGGGGGTAAAGATGGACTGCACAAGTTACCGCGGACTGCAACACTCAC